CAAGTAAGTTGGAGTTTTGTCGGCTATCAACCTTAAGTCCCGGAGCGGGATTGGCCATTGGAATTGGAGGCGGAACTCCTTCCGTGTGGTCAGAAACAGGTGAATGCATCACTGGGGGGTTATTTGCTGCCATAGCGGGACTGGGATTCCTCCCGGCCCCCTTGACTTAACGCCGCTACCTCTAACTAACGCACTGCCCGTTTGCATAAGCTGCTGTTCCATAAGACGAGTCAAAGGCAATTGATAAATCAGGAAATTTTGCGCCTGAGATCAAGGCAAATTCTAAATTAAAAGTCTACCTACGTGCGTAAAGCTTGGCTCCCCCAGAGCTCAGACAAAATTGAAAATTCGAAAAAAATGCTAAGTGTGGCCTGCTTTGTAAGCTAAAGCCTAATTAAACGTCCGAGAAAGTCTTCAAATAAAAAAATAAAGAGATTTAGCTAATTGGCGCGATACTGCCGTACCCGTTCGCGAAAATAAAAAAAATCGAAAATGTCGATAATTATTCAGTCCGCGTACTGAATATAAATGTACGCGCGAAAAGCAAAAAAAAATCAATCAGAATATATAGTTAGTAAGTGCATAAGCGTATAAGTGTGTTAGTTAAATATACGTGGTCATACGTGGATTAAAAGTTCATTGGGGATTTAATTTTTATATTATGGAAAATATCTGTTTTTAAATATGTATTTTTCAAAAGTCAATGGGAATGCTGACCCCCTAACATTAAGAAGGCACAAGTCTACGAAAAAGTATATGGTACAACACAAACAAAACAAAAATCGCTGTTTGGTCCAGCACACACAACCGAAATGAAAAGCCGGCGTCTTAAATAATACCCCTCCAGACTTGAAGGGTGTACTGGCCTTCGCGTACAATTTTGCTGAGATATCTTTCGGCTTCAGTGCACCCCACCGCAATGCAGCAAAGGGCAGTCACGCATGCCCCCTGAGACATGTGGGGTGACTGAGACCCCGATAGTCAGTCGTGGTTGGAGTCCCAGCCCACTCCATCGCGATACGTAGGCGCTCTGGAGCACCAGCGCAGACCTATGGAGTGAGCTGGGGCCCTAAAGAAAAATTTAATTACCACTTTTTTTTTTAAACACGAGGTGAAAAAAAAGAAATAAAAATATTCGACTGAAAAAAACTAAAAGAAAACCCTATTTAAACTAAACCCCACTTAGCGGACAAAGTTTTTCCCCAATTCCCATGCCGACATATCGGACCACTGAACAAAAGTTGGAGAAAAAAANTAGCATAAGTAGTTAGTCCCTGTATATGTACCTATTAGGTAGGTACCTAGCCTACCTACCTGTATACATATATTTGTATGTGTGTGTATCGGAGATGCTCAACAACTATTTGATTCGATTTTGTTTTGTTGATGCGCAAAACTACTCATTCAAAATAATTTTGTTATGTTTCAGAGCTAAATTTACGAAACAAAACTCAATCGTTAACTGTGAAACGAATTAAATCACCAAAAGTTGTTGTTGTATGCCATTGCCAGCTCACTGTTAATGCCTAACACCTAAATGCATGCTACAAATTCAGCATTGACGATTGAATTTCTTTTCATTAAAAGCCAATATAGAATTATTCTGATAATTACCTAAACGATAAAAAAACTGAATCGTTTCAACAGAAACGATTGCTTTAGTTTTGGTAAACGCTAAGACTAACGTTACAATGCATCCTTGGTGTGTATATGTACATAAACCAATTTATTTTATTTTTTTGTAGATTTTACACCATTTATAATTATGATTCCTTATTAACTTTTATTTTTAGTTATTATTTCTTACTTTTAATTTCCTCTCAAAAAAAATTTTATTTATACAAAGATCTTTTTCTTTTTTCGAAGGACTTACCCTTGAGTTGCAGCAGGCCTTGGTGGGGGCCTGCTGTTGTTGTTGTTGTTGTTGGTGTTGCTGCTGTTGTTGCTGTTGTTGCGCGCTGTTGTTGTTTCGACCGATGTTGTTGCTTTCCGGGGTCACTTCACCGGTGTTGTGACCTTGCCGTAATGGTGCCGGCAGCGTCCAGGTAGACAAAGACGTTCTCCCGCAATAGTGAAGGGATAGCCTTATCCATCAGCGGACTCATTGTTTGTGGACCGTTGTACGGGCCAAAGCACATTACTTTAAAGTGGTACAATGGCTTATTTGGAACCGCAAATGCCGTCTTTTCCTTAGACGATTCCGTTAATTTGATTTGAAGGAAAGCATCCTTCAAATCAATACCACTTATCAAGTATGTGTCATTTAACCCGCTCAACAACCCATTAATATGGGGCAACGGATACGAGTCCTTCTTTGTGACCGCGTTCACCTTCCTGGAGTCAATGCACAGCCTGACCTTGCGTGGTTTCCGAACCAGTACCACTGGACTACACCACGGTGAATTCGATTCCTCAATCACTCCCATCTTAAATAGCCTTTCAATTTTGCTATAGGCTTCCGCCTGCCTGGGTGGTGAAAGAGGAAAGTGCTTGCTTTTAATTGGCACTGCATCAGCCGTGTCTATATGGTAAGTCACTAAACTGGTTTGACCTAGTCCTAGCGTTTCGAACGAGGGAAAATCCTGAACAACCTTTTGCAACGCTATCTTCTGATCTGGTGTGAGCTGATGGAAGTTTGGCTCATCCTCATTTGGAAAATCTAAACAAGAAACGGTTGGAAATACATCGGGTGCTAACGCAAATGCCTTCCAGAAATAAACTCCCAGGTATGCTTCATGGATTAATGACGGTACAAGATAAAAGCGAATAGTCCTCGTAATGTTTTTAAAAGTGGCCGGTAAAAATATCGAGGCGAGTATTTTCTGCTGATTTCCACCAGCCGTGTAGACAAACGCGCGCAAAGAATGATATTTTAAATTGTTTCTCTTTAGGAACCCACTAAGAAACTATCGTAAATTTTAATCTTTGCTAGCGGTCCCTCATCTGGTGTTATCAGAATTTTAGTGCTTTGCAAAAGTTTACGCATATTTACTCGGCTAGAATATCTTTTCCTACACTGTAGAATATTTTCTGAAACTACGAGTTTTGGTTCTTCTTCGAAAATATCCGCCCTTATCCGTACATAATCCTGCTCTCTTTGCTCTAAACTAACTGGGAATTGAGTCTGGCATGCGACATGCCTAAGAATTCGAACCTGCAGAGGATTGGCTGTAGAAGAAAACATACACTCGGAATCAGAACTATCGGAACTATCTGGGAAAGTTATGATGACCCTAGGCGAAGCTCCCGAGGGACTGGTACTACTCTCCGAAGTACTGACATCTCCATGCAAATGAACGGTTCTGCCTGGGATTGCGCTACTTTTTGGTTTATCATAAGAGGCGGTTGCTCCTGTACTCCCTGCTTCGGGGGCTAGGGTGCCGATCCCCGATTACCTTCTCGCTCGGGTTCCGGTTTCCCTGTCTCCGATAATCTCTGGGGCATCTTGGAGTAACCACCCTCTTCTGTCCACACTTGAAGCAGAACACGTTTCGAATCGCTTCCTCGCAATAGATGTAAGAGTGTCCCATCTTTTCACAGTTCCAACACTGTATTCCTGAGTAGTCCGGTTTCCTAGCCCTCTGGAAATTCAGCGCTTCCACCTGTGGATTCACTTCTCCATTCATTCCTCCTGTCCATTCATCCGGTGTAATAGCCATGGTTTCGTTGACATGCCGTCCTGAATAGTTCGGTACCAAACTCCTGGTTTTCTTCAGGAACTGTTCGCCATTCCTAGCAACGTCACGTAGGTCATGTAGGGTCTGCGCACCAGCATTGAAAAGCATCCACTTCAGGCTGCTGTTAACGTTCCTCTTCAATATGTCCATCAACAGGTTCTCAGACATCGGCTCCCTTAGTCTAGCGGTCAAGGCTAATATATCTGTATGAAACATATCATACGATTCATTAGCCTTCTGACGACGCATTGAGATCTCCATCATGATCTCATGGTCACTTTTTAAGGTGCCGAATTCCCGCTTGATAGAGTAGCATAAGAAGGGATAAGTCACATCTGGATTCTGCTTAGTGAACAACCAATACCATTCCTCTGCTCGCCCTGACAAAAATAGGTGGAAACTTGCCATCAACAGCTCATCTGTACATTGTGTGCGCTCATACAACGTGTTTAGCTTAAAGAGAAAATCTGATACGCTACCGGTGCCGTCATAGGATACCTTCCAATCCTGTGGCTTCATGACAATATTAGTGGTGAAATTTGGTCGGTTATTCAAAGTGGCTTGCGTCGAATTGCGTCCGATAGAAGCAAAGTCCCTAGGGCCACTGGGTGCAGTTTGAGATGCAGTTACCACTGCACTTAATGCGTTCATATTTTCCCGCATTGTTCTCATTTCAGCTCTCATTTCTTCTTGCGAAGTACGTAAGAGCTGATGAAGCACTCCTACCCACGAATCTCCTGCGGGCGCTCCGCCATTAGAACGTCTACTCCTATCTTCTGCAATACCTTCACTAAAGCCGGTATTCCCTGGCAAGGATCTATCATTTTCCTGTCTTCCCGAAAGCAGAGTCATGGAGGTAGCGGAAACATTATGGGCCGAAGTCCCAGGTTGTGAGGTGTCAAGTAAGTTGGAGTTTTGTCGGCTATCAACCTTAAGTCCCGGAGCGGGATTGGCCAATGGAATTGGAGGCGGAACTCCTTCCGTGTGGTCAGAAACAGGTGAATGCATCACTGGGGGGTTATTTGCTGCCATAGCGGGACTGGGATTCCTCCCGGCCCCCTTGACTTAACGCCGNGACTGACGCACTGCGCGTTTGCATAAGCTGCTGTTACATAAGACGAGTCAAAGGCAATTGATAAATCAGGAAATTTCGCGCCTGAGACCAAGGCAAATTCTAAATTAAAAGTCTACCTACGTGCGTAAAGCTTGGCTCCCCCAGAGCTCAACCAAAATTGAAAATTCGAAAAAATGCTAAGTGTGGCCTGCTTTGTCAGCTAAAGCCTAATTAAACGTCCGAGAAAGTCTTCAAATAAAAAAAAAATAAAGAGATTTAGCTAATTTGCGCGATACTGCCGTACCCGTTCGCGACAATAAAAAAAATCGAAAATGTCAATAATTATTCAGTCCGCGTACTGAATATAAATGTACGCGCGAAAAGCAAAAAAAAATCAATCAGAATATATAGTTAGTAAGTGCATAAGCGTATAAGTTTGTTAGTTAAATATACGTGGTCATATACGTGGATTAAAAGTTCATTGGGGATTTAATTTTTATATATATGGAAAATATCTGTTTTTAAATATGTATTTTTCAAAAGTCAATGGGAATGCTGGCCCTCTAACATTAAGAAGGCACAAGTCTACGAAAAAGTATATGGTACAACACAAACAAAAAAAAATCGCTGTTTGGTCCAGCACACACAACCGCAATGAAAAGCCGGCGTCTTAAATAATACCCCTCCAGACTTGAAGGGTGTACTGGCCTTCGCGTACAATTTTGCTGAGCTATCTTTCGGTCTCAGTGCACCCCACCGCAATGCAGCAAAGGGCAGTCACGCATGCCCCCCTGAGACATGTGGGGTGACTGAGACCCCGATAGTCAGTCGTGGTTGGAGTCCCAGCCCACTCCATCGCGATACGTAGGCGCTCTGGAGCACCAGCGCAGACCTATGGAGTGAGCTGGGGCCCTAAAGAAAAATTTAATTATCACTTTTTTTTTTTGAACACGAGGTGAAAAAAGAATAAATAAAAATATTCGACTGAAAAAAACTAGAAGAAAACCCTATTTAAACTAAACCCCACTTAGCGGACAAAGTTTTTCCCCAATTCCCATGCCGACATATCGGACCACTGAGCAAAAGTTGGAGAAAAAAAAGTCAAACTACAAAAAAACTACGTGCGTTTAGCACTGCCTCAC